TAAGATAAGAACTGGATGGATTCATGCTGATATATATATATATATATATATATATATATATATATATATATAGAGAGAGAGAGAGAGAGAGAGAGACAGACAGACAGACAGACAGACAGACAGTTTCCTGTGGCTAGACATCGATCGAAACTCGACCGATCTGACATCAGTCAGAGACCCTTGCAGAGCAGAAGAAGGGACTTTTAACGCATTATATACTTGATATATATACACGCCATACTAGCCAGCATAGTACTCAGTTCTAACGAAGAGCGATGCGTTTAAATCAGTAGCAGCCGTTAACAATTCCATTTTTCCAATAGTATTCAATGGGAAGTAAAAAAATATCGTTAAAATTTTAAAATTAAGAATGCTCAAATTTATTCTTAAGGCTGATTGTGAAAGTCAACGTAAACGATGGAAGATGCTAAATGATGTAATTTAATGCTGAACAAACGAAACTCAATAAATGTGGTTGTCGTTTATTTATTATTTTATTAATTTGTTTTAATCGTTTTCTTTTAATATATGAAAGTTTTCGCTTGAAAAAAGAGTATTTCTCTTAGGAAAGGAGATATTTAAAAAAAAAAATGATATCTGCTAGCTTGAATTTCGTACCCGAAACATAAGCAACGGTAATTTTTGATAGAATTTTTATCCGAAATTTCTAGGGATAAGAAATAATGTCGCATAAAAAAAAATTCTTTCAAAAATTAGTTTTTTTACGTTTCGGATACGAAACTGAAGCTAACAAATATAGATTCGTAGAAGTCCAAACGATAAAACATTGCCCAATCAGCACACTGGTAGTGGCATACTTTGGCTTTTTTACATATATATATATATATATATATATATATATATATATATAAAACAGGGGATGTCTGTCTGTCTGCGTGATACTTTTTCACTCAAGATCCACGCAACCGATTTTGATCGAACTTGACACATACATTGTACAATGTCAGAAATAGGTTCTTAACGTTAAAATCGATAATTTATAAAAATCAGTAATCGGGAAAGCTGATCAAGAATCGATAAATTCAACTTTTTCCTCTGATTTCGTTCAAACTTGCTATGTTGGTTACTTATATCATGGCGATTTCAACGATATCTCATTTTTATTTATACGCCAATGCTTTTAGCGAAAAAAACCCCGCTATAAACGAAAAATCGATTTCAACACAAATTTTAAACTAAAAATTCCCTCAATTTTCAAGCAATCTAATACAAACCTAATTGTAGCCAACAATAACTTGATTGTTTAAAAGTCATTTAACTTGATAACTGAATCCACCCATATAGGGAAAACCCGCGTAAATAGCGCAAAATGGCGAATTTTACTAGTTTCTTTCTTATTTTTCGTTGATCTTTCAACCAATTTTCATCAAACTTAACAGTTGCTTTATAAATGTATCCTCTTTTATATCCCTGGTAGCACACTGACAAATTGAATTCCAAAAACTCCAAAATAATTGTGGATGAAGTAGGACTTCAGGGTTCCCTTCATGTCCTCGGTTAACTTCGACTGAATAAATACAGACGACTTCTGTTATATCAGTAACTGCATTAATTCAAAATGGTTTTAAATGAAAGTACTTTAAAGTAATTGAAGAAGATAGATTCTGTTACATCTAAACATGATGCTGTTTTTGCTCCATTCTAATTGAACGCTTTTTCTGATCGACCAGATGAGTATGGCTGCTAATATATATATATATATATATATATACGGGTTATAACCGCAAAATTGTCCAAATTGTGTAACAGCAAAATTGTCCAATTGTTAGATTAAGCTTTGAACCCTTGTATCTTAGAAATAATTAAATATCTTACTGGAATTCTCCCAGGTTTTTATAACATTATTGGACTCTACTTTGAACAATAAGAATGTATTTAACTCTAAGTTGAAATGATGATCCCTCTTCCTGTTGTGACCTCCTGATCCAGTTTTCCTCTCTACTGTTCCCTCTTTTTTTAATTTATTCACCATTCTCTTGATGATCTTTTAATGGATTTTGAAGATGGGAGTCAGAGTATGAATGTTGGTACCATTACTGAAGGCCTGAATGATTTTTTCGTTTCACCATTGCTTATTTGAGAAAACAGTTGGGCTGACACAAAACAATTTTAAACTTTTCTCTTTCTAGCTGAATATCTCAAGGGGTTTTTCAATGATTCTTGTGACAAATGGTATCAAGATGGCTAACTGGCTTATTTGAAAACGTGGGAAAAAAACTCAATTAGTTTATTGGTTTTTAGATATTAAACATTTTAATATTTTTATATATTTTTCTTCTTCTAGATAGTTGGACACCAAATGTTATCCAACAGTCTGTCCTGCTATTTACCCATAGCTATGGGTAGATTGGAGATTCAAACTTTTCCCAAGGGTATTAGCACGTAATGCAATGAACTAAACTACAATTTGAACTCGGCTCTCAAATACCTTAATCCAATTTACTAGCCATTACTCCAGCGTGCTTCCGACTCTTAATTCACAACCTGTGGTGGGTCGTTTGGGAACATTGTGGCATAATGTGAACTAGATGTGTTGTGTTAAGCTCTTCCAGAAAAAAGTTCTGCACAAGCCTTCACCACTATAATCAAATGATATATGTGCTTAGTCTGTCAATGAAGCATGAGTTGTAAAAAATGATATTCGCAAAAACATCTTACGCCTGCACTGTCTCTCACCTTTAAAGTTCTGCCATCTTTTCTTCTTCGGCATCTCTCTTACGGTTCGACCAATCATTTCAAATTTAAAAGGCCAATCACAACATTATCTTCTCAGTCGCCATTTTCTAAAATGGTTGTCTTCCTCTGGTTGATCGCTGCCCAAATACATCGGTCCTTTTAAAGATTCGCTCAGATTTCAATTGCCAAAACATTAATTAGTGTCTCATAATCAAAACGTTAACATTTCAATAAACTACTCTCTTAATGCCATGTGTCTTTGCACTTTTGCGAAATTCGTTTATTATTTTGAATTATTTTTTTTTTGTTTTGAATAATTGGAAGCAAAGCAGTAGTTTGAAATAATATTGGAAGATTTAGGTTGCAAGCAGCCGAGTGAAATAGTGTTAATGTTTATCAAACACAAATTACTTTATGTATTTTTCGAATATATTTACGGAAGCTACAATGAAATTTTCATGGAAAATTAAAATATAAATATGGATTTGAAAATTTAAAATAGAAATATGTTAAAAAATAGGGGATTGAATAGAAAGAAAAATAAATAACTGTTAAAATATCTCGGTATGTTGATAAGAAAGAAAGAACTAGTAAGAAAGTGAGTGGGAAAGAAGGAAAGAAAGAAGATGAAAAGGAAAACACAAAATTTAGGAAATATTCTTTAATGTGCTGCGTTCTTTCCAGTTTTCTTGTTTAGATAGTTTTTCTTTTCTTCTTCATTTCTTTCCTTTTTCCTTTCTCTCGTTCTTTCTTTCTTTCTTTCTTTCTTTCTTTCTTTCTTTCCAATCAACATTCTTTGATGCCTTAAATGTTCTTCCTCTTTCTTTCTTTCTTTCTTTCTTTCTTTCTTTCTTTCTTTCCAATCAACATTCTTTGATTCCTTAAATGTTCTTTCTTTCTTCCTTTCTCCCACTTTCTTTCTTTTTTCTTTCTTTCTTATCAACATTCTTTGATTCCTTAAATGTTCTTTCTTTCTTTCCTTTTCTTTCTTTCTTTCTTTCCAATCAACATTCTTTGATTCCTTAAATATTCTTTCTTTCTCTCTTTCTTTCTTTGTCGCTTTTTTTCTTTCTTTCTTTCTTTCTTTCCAATCAACATTCTTTGATTCCTTAAATATTCTTTCTTTCTCTCTTTCTTTCTTTGTCGCTTTTTTTCTTTCTTTCTTTCTTTCTTTCCAATCAACATTCTTTGATTCCTTAAATGTTCTTTCTTTCTTTCTTATCAACATTCTTTGGTCCACTAACAGTTGTTTATCTTCCTTTCTTTCTGATTTTTTTAACGGCTTATCAACTTTTTGCATGTTATTTAAAGCCAGAAAATATTTTAGATTGTAAGAATTCTTTTTCAAGATAATAATGACATAATGATACAGATCATATACTAAATAACGCATAGTTGCGGGAAGATGGGGTTTGATTCATACTCTTTTCCAAAGGGTATTTGCGCATAACTGAATATTACGACCCCGACTTGAATTTCCAATTCCGAGCTATTTATACATTACATCCCTTTTACATTCAAGTTCTCAGCACCTGGTAATCCCATACTGATATTCATATTATTACTGACCAGGATAGACGTTGCTTAACTCCGGTTATCATGCGGGAAACGGTGTTTCGATGTGATATGACCGTAAGCCAAACAATGTAGAAAAGAATGCAGACAGAAAGAAAACTGTAAAATGAAAGAAAGAACTGTAGAAAGAAAGAAAGAAAATTAGAAATAATGAAAAATTAGAAGGAACGAAAGAAATAAATGTCAAGAGAAAAACTTAAATAAAGAAATGTAGAAAGGAAAACATAATCCAGAAGGAAATGTGGGAAGAAAGGAAGAAATGTAGTAATAAAAAAAAAAACAAATGCAGGACGAATGAAAATAGAAAGGAAAAAGAAAAAAGAAAAATGCGGAGAGAAATGCAGAAATACATAAAGAAACATAGAAAGAAAGAACATAGAAAATCAGAAATGAAAGAAAAAAGAAAATCAGATATGTAGAAAGAAAGACGGAAGAAGGAAAATCATAAGTCTAAAAAGGAAGAAATAAATAAAGAAGATAGAAAATCACAGATGTAGTAAGAAAGAAAGAAAGAAGAAAGAAAATCAGATATGTAGAAAGAAAGAAAGAAAAAAGAAAATCAGAAATGTCGTAAGAAAGAAAATCAGATATGTAGAAAGAAAGAAAGAAAAAAGAAAATCAGAAATGTCGTAAGAAAGAAAATCAGATATGTAGAAAGAAAGAAAGAAAAAAGAAAATCAGAAATGTCGTAAGAAAGAAAATCAGATATGTAGAAAGAAAAAAGAAAA